ATGAAAAAGTCATACAAGTTCAGGAGGTACAAGGACCCTAAGCAAGAAGAACCCAAAAAGGCCCATGCCCAGACACATCATAATTAAAATGCCACTTAAACCTTCTGTGCCTCAGTTTCCCCAGGGCTACGTGGGGCTTAAATGATATATCAAAGGATATGACAGCATATTGCCTGCCACACAGTAGCATAGTAGCTATTCATACTATTGTAAGTTACTACTAAAAATTATTACCAATATTAATTATAAAGCTGCTCTTGGGCTAAAGGTTTCATAGGTGGGAAAAGTTCTCAAATGTGACTTGCTGCAGTCCAACCCTCTTCCTGTTTAACATAACTGTCTAAAGGCCCCAAGTCCAGGGCCACTGCCCCCAGGGTCCTTTCCTCTCCCACATGCTGTTCCAACAGAACAGCCTGGAGACCATCCCCCTGGCCTCCATCTAGATATGCCAGCCAGGGCTCAGCCTGCTGGCCATGCCACCCAGATGACAGAGGGGCTGAGAAGACAACCCTGCCCCAAGGAAAGGGGCTCTAGTACCCTATCACTCTGCCTACTTTGGGGGACCAGGACAGACTAGGAGGCTCTCATCTTCAAGACCAGGCCTGAGCTACTCTCTACACAAGGGACAGCTCCCCTCGCTTACTCTCTCCTCCTCTAGAACTCCTGGAGTAGTAAAAAGCTTCCAGAGAGAAAACCTGGGTTCTTAATTCAGGGTGGCCATAATCAGCTGTATGTCTTTGGGCAGATCTCCCTGCGCTCTGGACCACAGTGTCCCCACCTGTAAAAGGAGGCATCTGGAGCTTCAGTTCCTTGTGGTTCTTTCCAGCTCTAAACAAACTTTGTGACCACCAAGCTCCCCAGCACTTCCTTTCCTGCAGTCTCATCACTCTATCATGCCCTTCGATTTATGTTCTGTTTCCCATCCCCTTAGGGGACCAGCGCTAAGGTCCCCCAAGGAGTCCGATCCCTCCCCAGCTCAAAGCTCTTCCAAGATGAGCCCCATTCTCTAACTCCAGACTGGGAAAGCCTGTACCTGGCCAAGTACAAGGCCAGTCAAGGAAGCCAGGCTTGGCCCGCTCTGCCTCATGCTGGGCCTCAGGAAACTCCAAGGAACTAGTCACTGAAGACTGTAGGAGGGCGGGCAGGGTGGAGCTAGGGAAGGAGAAGATGCTGACGGAGGGAGGGTGAGCCCCTGCTCCATCTCCTGCCAGGGCTGCACCTTAGCACCTTCTTTCCCTCCAGCTACTAAGGCACTTCCTATCACTATGCCTCCTCCTCAGCCCCCAACGATGTCCCCCTACATGACACCAGCCAGCTGGGGTGAGAATTCCCTCTTGAAACTGCCCAGACACACTCAGTGACCTCCCCCAAGCTCGTTGCCATCTCCCCTAACTGCAGCCTATTTCCTCAGAATTCTCTTTCTTAAGGCTCAGTTAGCCTAAGGCTCTGCCTTTGGCCTAGAGAAGGTCAGAAAGGAAGCCCCAACAAGGACCTAAGGCGAATGGGCCCTGGTCTGGCACACACACCCACAGGACCCTGAGCACCAAGCCCAGCCTCAGACACTCTCCTGCCTGGGACCATCCTGGGTCCCTTCACACAGGACTAGCACTCTACACAAGAGGGGCAGGGCCCGGGCACCCGCCTAAGCATTCCCTTTCCATGCTCTCCAAACCTCTGCTAGTGTGTCCAGGCCATGGGCTTTCTACACCAACTCCACAAATCTCTGTCCCTCATCTGCTTGTACCACCAGACTCCTCTACAGCCCACAACCCTCACACATATGCACACAAGCACATGCTGACATGTAGGTTCTCAGGCACACACCTCCATACATGCCTGGGAGCCCCCAGACCTATCTCCTGTTGCCCTGGACCCCATTTATTCATACTCATCCACCCACTGGCCTCTTCCGACCAGCCTGGTGCTGGGCATACCAACCTCCCCCAGCAACAGACTGCAAGGAGCTCTGACCCATCCCCTCAACATTGCAGTTGGACCAGGGGTGCACACACCTGTCAGGAGCTGATCAGGAGTCTCAAGTCTAAGTTACTGGAGCTGATGAAGATCATTTTCTGCAGGTGGCCTCTTGCTACGGGGAAACTATGAGGGTGTCCACTATGGAATCCCCAGAGAGGCCTGAGTGGGGCTCCGGCTTTGCTTACCCACTGCTGACCCATGACCTCTGACCTTCCTGTGGGGAGCTTCTCTACCTTGACACCCCTTTCCCTGCACTTTCCTCTTGGTGGGCACTTCTGGGTCAGTGCAGCTGAGACGCCAAAGCACCTGGGAAGAAGTCTGGATGAATGCACGTGGCCCTGGCAGTCCTCTACCTCTGATCACCCACCCAGCCCCTCCCTCCCCATTACCTCCGACCTCCAGCACTGTGACCATGGCTTCGCAGCAGGCCTGGCCCCGCTCGTTCTGGGCCCTGCAGCTGTACTTGCCGGCATCCTGCGCCCCGCAGTTCCGCAGCCACAGGCAGCTGGGCTCGGGGGCTGGCGGGGGCAGGAGCTGCCCATCTCGGAACCAGCTGAGGCTGGGCTGGGGCGCTCCGCTCACCACCAC